GGATAAAAGAAGTCCTTATGGCACTGAAGGCCACTAGAATGGACACAACAGCGTGGAATTCCTATTCTCCATGACAAAGAATTTGATGGAATATTCAACCCAATTTTCATACACTGGAAGTATGGAAGAGAAATTTACTTCCTTGGAATAACATACAAACCTTAACGTTTTAATGGTTTTTTTTAAATGAAGTCTATATATAAATGTATGTTTTAAAAATATGTATTTCAAATTATACACATGATCCATAGTAGGAAAAAATAAAATCATTTAAAGATTGTGACAGTGAATTTCAAGCACAGAATTACATCATCATCTCAAAAACACCAAGGTTTAGAAGTAAAGTCTCTTTTTTAATTATCTGAAACAAGCATTTCCTTGCATTTGTTTGGACAGGTGCCCATTCAATTGACAGCTTCTAAAATCACACGGGGAAAATGCATAGGGATAAGATGCATTAAAACAACTTATGCCCATCCTTCTTTTTTACCTGCCAGAAGGATTTCCATGTTTTCATTTTGGATTTCAAGGGAATCCAGCTGCTTAATCTCTTCTCACCTCTTGGGAAGATTTCCTTCCAAGGAGATAACCTAGGGTGCTTCTAATTAGCTCTACAAATGGTCGAAAAGTTTTTTTCTCAAAGCAACATGGAGATTTTATGCTTGTGACAAAAGTTGAGATCTCTATTTTTTTATATATATTTTTAATGTAAACTTTTAATTAATAATTTTATCTTTATAAAATTTATCCTTAGCTCTACCTCTATAATAAACTTTTTTTTCATCATTTATGGGAGGATTCAGTTGCCTAAGCAAAACCACATAGAGGCATTTCAGATAATATAGGAAATCCTGCCTGACCTCCAGGTGCCACTCAAGAAGTGTGGGCTCTCTGAGTTCTGTGTTATATCTACCGGTCCTGTGGAGATATCCTGGATATCCTAGGATATCTGAAATGGCACTAGGCACCACTGTTCAGAGAATAGCGTTGGGTCAATTACCAATATGAGTACCTCGGGAAAAAAAAAAAAACAATAATTATTATAATCCTACTTGTATTTGTGTGGAATTTTCAAATTGCTGTTTGAAAGTACTTCTGTAGAGAAGTTCAGAAGTATTCATCACACATTGATTGGGCTGATAGTTCATTTAAATTCTGAGCTCTTCCAAGAAAAAGAGACCTGGTTAATGGTTTCTTTGGTTAGTCTTCAAAATCAACAACCGCATGCAGGAATTTCCTGTGCCATGCTCCAATTATTTAAAGAAGACAAATCTGATAGTGTATTCTTTTCCTGGTTGCTCCAATTGCACTTATTAAGAGAAGAGTAAAAAGTTATCTTGATAAATAGATCACTTTTCTACAGGATACATGTAATCAAAAGCAAAATATGTCTATTTTGGGTGTTAACCTGTTTTTCTTCTCGGTGTTCAGAGATAAATTAAGTAAAGCAAGCATTTCCCATTACATATCAGAGCAGCTTCCCACAAAAGTTGGAGGTTGCTGCTAGTTTTACAATTACACTTTTTGTTCTGTGTTATTCTGATAATAAGACATACGAAGCAGTGAATTGCAGTATTGACAGGGCTTTGCCAAGAACAACATAAAAAAAGAAAAAGTTTTCAAAAAAGCCTGAAAAATGTTTATGAATTCTAATCTTCAGCACATGAATAAATACATCTGACAAACTGCAGAGTACCTTACAAAGGCCTTTCCCAACCTTTCTAATTTGAGTTCAATTACATGTGTAGTGTTTAGAAGCTCAAGTTCATCCTGCCAATGTTTTGAAACTAAGGTTGTACTACATATCATTAATTGTAAAAGTGAAGGGCAGATAATAAGTTATAATTATCCTATTAATCACTTGTAAAGAATTGCATTCAGGGAAGAATGCATCCTCAAATTACAATAATTGGTGGTTTGAAGGAACCCATTTTTTTCTCTCCTTGGCAGGAATACTGTTAGAGTTTGCTGTGCAAGGTCATGAATATTATGCTGAAATCAAGCAGTGTATGTGCTATGGGCCATGTGGTGTGTATTGCTATAAATCCATGGATGTCAATGGACATGTGCGGATTTCTAACTGCTAACTAGGTATCAAACTTCCTCATTAGTGTCTACTCCTCAGCATCACCTTTACTTATTTTCTTAAGTAACATCGGTTTCTCATGCTGAAGTTGGTAATGGCATCCTCTCTAGAGTCTTTTTCTCTTTTTAGCAGCCACAGTGCATATTTTCTCTTTGAAATTCCTCTGCACCAGCACACTTAATGCATGTCCCTGAAAACAAAGCTGTGAGTAAGAGCCCTTGAGAACAATGATTCCTGCAAAAGAAGTTTCAAGTTATTGATGATCGTGTCCTTTTTCAAGTGAATTATAAACTTTTGTCTTCGTTTCCAGTTATTAAAAGTCTCTCCTGGAATGTGCTTTGCTATATTTTGCAAACAGGTAGATTCAAAACTGATACAATTTCCTAGGCTCTAGTTACTCTATTAAGAAATGGAAGAAAGTCTTAATTCCAGTGTACTTATCCTGTTCCTATTTCTCACAGTAGGCGTTTTTTCTGAGATAATGGATAGCTACTGACAGGAAAAGCGGTGGTCAGGTGTGGTATAGTATTAAAATAAAACAAGGCCTTTTTCATAAATGGGTAGCACCACCAAATGGCCATAACTGGATAAAGGGAGCCTGGCACCTAACATAGGAAGACACATTGTATCATTAGCATTATTTACTCAGTGAGCATGGGTTTAGAAAGGCTCTTAAAGCCTGGAGAAAGTACTGCATCCTAACAAGGAAGATCACGAGGGAGGATGTGAATGATAGTGTGCAGGAACATAAGCTGATCAATACAGCAACAGGCTGCATTCCCTACAGTTTTCAAATGCCTCAGGTTAGGTTTCTTAATCCATAAATAAGCACCTAAATAAAAGGTCCAACACTGTGTTGAGCAGCCCTTTCAAAAGTGCATGCCAGCATACACTCCTTGTGAGACTTGTCAAAGGTGACAGCAGATAAAACCCAGTAAACTCTTTTTTTTTTGTGAACATTTATATTTTTCCACACAGTATGAAAGATTTTCTGAACAAATCCAGCAGTCTTCACTTCTGTATCATTTTCTCTGCCTTTCTCTCCACATCAGACTTTTGTTAATTTTCAGGTCACCCTGCCTGCTTCCAAAAAGAAAATATGAGGAGCTATTTGACGTTGCTTACTTGTCAGCTGAGTTTCTTAAGACCAATATCTGCTCTTTAAGAGACTCAGTTATTCCTCTCCCTAAATCTGGTTCCCTGTAGCTTGTGAACATCACAGCTAGTTCTCAAGAGTGAGCATAACCTGCATAACGGTGTTATATAGGCTGCTGTAAATTTGTACCTAGGCTAACATGTAGTCCAAGATCAAGATTTCCTTAATCAGGAGAAGGAAAAAAATAGCATAAGAATGAGCTTTTCTCCCTCTTTTTAATGATATTTAGAGAATTTACAAATTTTGTGGCTTAAAGTTAGGGGAAAAATTTAAAGTAGGGAAGGAAAGGTGCCTGTTCATTTCCAACACCAGTGACTCTGGTCTAGTCCTTCTTTGAAATTTCTGTGGCAGCTGAAGAGTCAGTGAAACTAAGATTCACTAGAAGAGTGAGCTTAAAAACTCAGCAGCTAAAGGGGGAAACATTTCTAACAGATAGTGACATCTATTCATGTCTACTATTGACAGCAAATTTGAGGAAAGGATAATTCTATCAAATCTCTGTGGCCTTCAACTGAGTTTGAGAGCCTTGAGAGTTCGCTAAGAAAAAATAAAGAAAGCTGTTATTCTATTCATTGTATGTATAATGTAAAAAAAATAAGCATAAAAAACCTTTTTCATGGTGGGTCATAAAGATGGAAAACAAAGATTAACAAAGGCATTTAGAAAATCCTTGGTAGGTTATAGGCAATTTCCACTGGAAGATACAGTACAGATACATCAGTCTCACAGGTATGAAGTCTTGAACTTGAAGATAGCTACGACATTAGCTTGCAATTTAGCACTAATTAATACATTTGATTGGAGAGATTGTTTAGCTGTTGCCATTTCCTCTGGGGGAGAGGGAGGGAACCTAATACCACACCTTATAACAAGATCTCACAAATTATGGCAAGAGAACCTTTGACAAATTCACAGTTTACAGTTAAAAACATTTATCCTTACATAACTGATTTTGTCTGCATCTTCAGTAGGTTTATTGTTATTCTCATGACACTTACAGGAGAAATGATATTCCAGTGGACTACATAACCTTTTTTCACTGACATGAACGCTTACCTTCTGTTATTGTACATAAATAGCAGATACTCATGTTTACCTGGTGTGATGATCCATACTCAAAAACTTTTTAATAGTATATTCAGTATTTTATAACTCCTGGGCACCCAATTTAAACTACATGTAGCCCAACTTGAATCTTCATTTTTGTATCAAAAAATTTTTTTTGATGTCTTTGACACGTTTTTATCACTGTCCTTCAATTTCAAGAGCCTCTGAAATTTGTTCTTCCAGACGGCAGTTAAAAAAATTGTCAAAATACTGCAAAAAAAAGTTCCTTTCAGTATTCAGTTTCTAACATTACCAAGTGCCTTGCAAAAGCTCATTTTTGCATGCTAGTTGGCTGAAAGTCTGATCCTGGTAGATGCTATGCACATCAATGATGACCACTGATGTCAGGTCTGGTACTGAGCACAACATCATCAAAACTAATTTTAAGGTATTAATTCTTACTCAGAACTGGGAATAATTTAGGTAAATACTAAATGATTCATATAATCATCTTATTTAGATGTATTTATCTAAACCAAAATAGGCTTTCAGCTCATTTGAGGTCTGCTCATTTCCAAGATATGTACAAACGGTGTGGTTTCTATACCCAACAAAAAAAGTCTGCTGCTATTGTTTACTAAAAGAAAATCAAAGCTAGGAATTTCATCAAACTTGGATCATTCTCTCCACTTTCAATGATTTGTGTTTTACCTCATTTCCTAAAAGGGCGTTTATACAGGCTTCAGATGCATCACAGATGGCAGTAAGGTCATGTCCTCCCTCCAGTGCCAACACGACACGGCCATCCGCTAGCTTCAGCAATTGCTTGGTTAGGTGACCAAAACCTAGTATTCAAATACAGTAGTGCAAATAATTAAAGCAGAATAGATATTATAGCCATGTTTCACATCTGCTACATGAGAATGTAGCAAACTCAAGGATATTGCACAGGGAGCATGGGATATATTTAGTCCAGTATCCTGTTTCTAACTGTAGCCCACACCAGATGCTTTGGAGTTAGGTATACGGAATTTTGTATGAGGCAGATGTGAGATAATTCCCTCATGCTAATCCCTAATAGCTGGAGATTAGTTGAAATGTGAGTTTGTCTCTCCCTTCTTACTGTCATTAATTATTACCACCCTGGATTCTCTTACTGCTTGCACACCAGTGTACCAAAACCCCATATTATTTAGGGATAACTGACACGAGCCTGGAGTAAGTCTCATGTCATCAATATGACAAATAAGACTTACAGTTAAAACATATTATAATTAAAAAAAAATCTTTTTTTTTCATTTTAGATGATGAAGTTTTTGTGCACAGATTGCTTCTTCCTCTGTATTTGGGGTTTAAGACTAATACACAGCCATGGACTGAAAAACAGTGGAAATGTTACATCTCAGTTCCACTCTGAAGTGCTTTTGGAGTCAGCACTAATAACTGGATCAGTAATTCTGATTCAAGGTTTTGTTAAAGGCTGAAACGGACCAGAATTTCCCAGAAATCTCTACCAGCATCCCTTGATCCTGGCCCACAGTGTTCTAAGATATTGTTCTTAACTTTCCTGTTTGTTCTGTTCTAGTTGCTCTGCTGCTGTTGGTCATTATTACTCATTCCGACGCATTTCGTAGCCTTGAAAAAAGCACTTAGAAGACACCTGCCAAAGCTCAAGCTCTATAAAGACAGGAAATTCAATATTTTTTTTATCATATTCCTGTGAAGAAGGTTGCTAGAAATTAAAAATTAAAAAAAAACTACAAGCATATTTTCTAGAGAAATTTTCCCAGACACAAGCTTAGGCCCTGACCCTCCAAACAAACAAATTAGTTCCATTTACTTGATAAGACTTTGTCAAGCACTTACATTACTCTTTTTAGAATAGAGACCTTAATGATACCAAATTTTTAACTGTTCTGAAAAAAAAAAAAGAAAAAATCTACTAGCTGCTTAATCTATAGATGATCACAGAACATTTGTGGCAAAATATTGTTTCCTTATGCCATCCCACAATCTTCTGTCTCAGAACTGCAGTTTTGATTCTAGCAAAGTAACTACACTGCAGTTCAAATTACATACAGGTTTGAAAAACAAATAAAATCTTAAATCTCTCATTTCAGTTCAACCTTTCTTCATGAACCTCTCTACAAAAGACCAAATTTAGATAGGATAATAAAAGTAAAGGAAGGAGTGGAATGAGGATAACCTTTGATCTTTAGCCAATTTCTACTTTCTTTTACCTACAGGATTTATTTCTGTCTGCATGTTACACATATGATCTTCAGATCTACAAGAAGAGAGTGCCAGCAGCATAAGTGAGCCGTACATACAGATTTTAAAGGAAATGAAGAAGAATGAATAGGCACAGACTTCTGACATCCACAAACTCTACAACTTACCCTTCAGGTCTATGAGAAGCCCAGCAGCACTTTTAGGACACCATTACCCCTCACTTTAAATAGATTCTGTTAAGAAAGGAAACTTCTACAGTATTTCCCCTGTATATTTTGAAAATATTATTTGGACATAAATGCTGTTGTAGCCATGCCTTAATTTGGGCAATATGTGTGAAGGCTGCTCAAGTGTATGTGGCAATAAATTTAAAGACCCTCTCCATGCCTTTTTCTTCTTTTAGACAACCATACACAATGTATCTAATAGACATCATTACAATGTTAGATTGTCTGGCTGGCTGTTAGATTGTTGCTGGCTTTCCTAATGGTATTGCTAGTACCAATGTTACAATAATAATTCCTGGCTGAGTCAGGAACCATGCAATGAGCCATACAGAAAGCATCTTTTCCAATAGAAAGCCCAGTAAAAAGATGAAGTGTTGCCAAAGCAAAGCAACAAGGTGGGGTCTTTTCTTTGGTGTAAATACCCAGAGAAGGTAAAGGTGACTTGCTAGAAGTGGAGGAGTTGACTTTAGCCAACAGAACCAATGTTGCCTATGACTGAATGAGTTATGGAAATTCTTAACAAAGAAAACTTGGATCCTGTGTCACTGTAGCAACCTAAGAATGATATTAGTTTCCTCAAAGAAAAACCCTAGAGTGCAGAAGTAACAAAGTGGGAAGAAAGGAATCTCATTCAAGTAATGGTTTTAAGACGGGCTGTGGTTCATGTCAAATAATTAAGAAAAACAAGAAGAAAATAGTAAAAAGTGCCATGAAAAGAATCAGTCATCTACCCTGATATAAGGAGGTCTGATGTCCCCGACCCACTCCAGTATGAGAAAGGAGTTGGACAAGCATTTTGAATCCTCAGTCTTCCAACTTACATGAATCTTCAGAATTCAGCAACAGCAGCTCTTGGCTCTTCTGCTTGACGGAGAGCAAAGGTGCCAGCTGTGATGCTAGCTTTAAAAAATTATTTCTGTTTGGATTTACTATATTCTGAAACTGTATGCTTTTTCTGTGGTGCATAAGATTTATAGGTTAATGACATTTTATAAAAACATAAAAAGTTCAAGCATAAAAGAAAAGCCATGCTAAAACATTAGTGTTTGATTTTGAATCCAGCCTTATATTAGCATTCCCTTTTTTGAGGCTCTAATTTACTGGTGCAAACGCCTTCAGTCCATTTAGAATCTGAGTCCCTGACTCAATAAGAGACACCTATTACTTAGACCTTGAAATAGCCCAAGTAGTATCCACAATTATTTGTGTCCATGAGTATGGATACAAAAGTCGCATGCCATTAAAAAATGAAATAGCATTTAAAAATTCAACTATTTCTGTCAATAAGTGAAAAAAGATTAGATATTTTGGGGTATTTATCAAATGTTGTTGTAAATGTGCTGTCTCAGTGACTTTGTGCTTCAGAGAAATGGCATGATTTTTTAAAATTAGGCTCATGTTGTGTGCCAGGAAACTGTGAGCATGGTTTTGTGCCAACAACTATTTTCAGACATAATTTTAGTAATTTAAATGTTAAAAGTACCTGTTTCCTTCACAGATCCAGTATTTAGACATCCAGGATGGAATTTGCAAAAGCACTTAATATTGGCTTGCTATGATCCTAGTGAAGACAATGATAAATGTTCAATTTACACAAGGAACAGCACTAAAATGCTACTAAGTATTTTTTGAAAAAACTACTTGCTAATTGCTTTACATTTTGCTGATGAAAAACAGTGGATGCACAACTGTGCCTCTAAGCAAAAAAGGAGATCAGATTATAACTGAAAAGATTTAAGACCCTATTCAAATATGAAAAGCACAAAATGCAGTAAGCCTTTTTCGAAAACCTACAGTTGTGTACATTATATACAGAAGAACAAAAAGGACAAAAGCTAAAGACCATTTGAAAAATCTTGCTACTTTGTAAGTACTAACAAAAAAACTGATGCAGCAAATTTACCATAGCATTTGAGAAATACCACTGTATGGTTTTTTTCTGACTTACTATTTACTAACCTGAAACAATTTTCCAAGAGCCAGATTTCTAAAAATTGCTGCCCCTTTTTCATCTGTGCTCCTGGATGCAAGTAATTGTGACAGAAGGTAACATTCGAATCTGAGTTGCAAACTGCAACTCAACCATTTAAGTAACATATTGCATACAAATAATACACAAACAGTCATATACTCATAAACCTGGAGTAGCATAACTAAACTATTATGTTACGGATTGCAAATTATAAATTTCATTTTCTAGTGTACAATTTGAGCTTTTGTGTTATTTTTTATTGTTCTATATTGGGAAAATACACAGCATTGAAGCCATTATCTGATGACTTTTGAAGTGAAAATATAAACTTTTAAAATGAAAACATTTAACATATTCTTTATTTATACCCTTTTCCCTCCTCCAATACTATTTGTGGAGTAGCTACAACATTCAGCCTTATATTAGAGAATACTTTATTGCAAGAAGGCAAAAAGAGAGAAAACTAATACTATCAAGCTGCCAGACTATTATTAAAGGACATAATGTGCTGATCATATGGATTAACATCTACTCAGTTTTAAGTCATCTTTTAGTGGATTGTTTGATGTCCCAGTGTAATAGTAACAGTCCAAATTTTTTTTTTTTTAATTTTATAGCAGACTACCTCTGCCTGCGCTCCTTCTAGTTCTGCCAAACAGCAAGGAATTACGTAGGAGAGTCTTCTTACCATCCCATTCTACCAAAGATGCTGAAGCAAGTGTAGTCTACTTGGACTTACTTAAAACCAAGAAAAAATGTTCAAGCCTATAAAAAGAGATCACCAAGGTATTCCAATTTTTTTCTGGGGTATCCTTACTCTAACAACCTGAAATTAAGAGCAATTAATAGACAGCAGGTAAAAAAATGTTTGAACCAGGTCAGTTCTCCTCCAACGGATTCATTATACAATTTTATTTTGTACTATGGCTAGATGAGATAAAGCTAACGAGTCAGAGTTTGTACATATAGCCTCTCATTTTGAGAAGGAAACATCTGAGAATGAAGATTACTTGTAAACTTTTTCCTCTCATCCTTTCCTCAGGAGACAGCAAAAAGAAACGTATGGGAGGGGCGCACTCAAGCAAGCCTTGCAGCACTCCTGGTCTGCATATACCATAATATACACTACTTGATTTGCTCATCAGTGAATGTGCAGAACCCCAGCTAATGGGGATTAAAATTGCCTCAGAAGAAGACAGACCCCTTCCCTCTCCCCCACTGCACATAAGGAGAGCAGATGTGCAGTCCTGTACAGTCTCTCTTTGGGTGACGGCAGGCTTAGCAGAGCCATTTCACACAGGGGAGGTGGCTGGTGGAAGAACAAGGACACCTCAACCACTGAAAGGATGGAAAAGCTTTGGAGAAAGCCTCAGTGAGGCTCCTGCTGCAACAGGGCCCCAATAGCTCTTCCAGC